CTATATTTTGAAATCAACCATTAACCCTAAAATTACATGAAGGAATAATATTTGGAAGCAAAACATAGTAGGTAGTAAAGTATTTCCATTGTCATCTGAAAAAAGAGGAAGTTGGCTTTAGATTGCCCCTGAATGACTTTCGTATCACACCACTTCGGTGTGAACCATGATATAACAGTGTGAAAATAATTAATATCACATAATTTTGTTTTATATTACACAAAAATGAGGAATTCTACTGAAATATTAATCAAAAATATAATAAACAATAAATAACATTTAATAAGACACATATTCATTAGAATAAATAATAAATGTAGTATGTTGCTTTGTGTACCCTCAAGTAGTGACCTGTGAACACGTGACGTCACTCATAGGTGCTTTATTAGATTTAAGGCCAAAAGTACTTTTCCCGATATATCCGGACATTTCATCGACATCTCCAACGAACATGTCCGTAACACACTTTTTCGAAAAGTGCCCATCTCTAGAAAATGTACATTTGTTTTAAAACAATCTGATTTCCGCATCGGACTTGGCACGTGGCACGTGGCACGTGACACTAAACTAAAAAATAGTAAATGAGCTACTACTGAAATAAAGAAATTTGTGTTCCAACCCCTTAAATATTAGAACACCTAATCATGCCAAAGTAGAAGATAAAAAATTTAATGCTGATTTCGCTAAAATTAGAATTCCATCTACAAGAAGCTATGCTAAAAGTAATAATTCTATTTATCATAAAATCTTTTATACCTCATAAATATAAATGGGCACATCTGAATATTAATAACAATTTCATAGTTACTGAATTTTAAATCATAAAATTTATGATGAAGTATCAATAAATTATTTATTTCTTCATAAACTTAAATTGTTCTTGAAAGAATAATTGACCTCTCTTGACTCTTGAATAAACAAGTACAATTATAAATATATAATGATTATTATAGTTGAATAAAAGTGCCTCGTTATTGTCAAACACTAATACATTGAATGTGGATGAAGTTGTTTGTGTCACTCACCTATGACATAGATAGATAGATAGATGGATAGATGGATAGATGGATAGATGGATAGATGGATCGATGGATCGATGGATCGATGGATCGATTGATCGATTGATCGATGGATGGATGGATGAATGGATTGATCGATGGATGGATGGATGGATGGATGGATGGATGGATGGATGGATGGATGGATGGATGGATGGATGGATGGATGGATGGATGGATGGATGGGATGGATAGATAGATAGATTGATCCTTTTGCTGCCTGGGTTTATTTCATTAATTTTTTTAATTTTTTCACAGGTGGTAAAACACCCAAAAAATAAAAAATAAACGAAAACTATACCACAAATAAATAACTAAAAATATTATTATTTGTTTCTATTTACCTTTTTTCTTTCAATATAACAAAACAGTTTTGAAACTGAATTTTCATAGACGTCAGCAAATGCTAGAAGGCACAGTAGTTGTTTCTCACAATATTTTTAAAGTTAGAAACAATATTATTTCTTGATTTGAAATTATACAGGATGGTATGTGTCAAAAATGAGACAGCGTTTCTCCTATCCAAATTATCTGTCACATATTTTTGAAATGCATATTTAATTTGAAGTAAAATGATTTCTAGATTTTTTTTACAGCTTCCACTGTTTCGTTACAAAATCAGCAATATGTAAAGATGCTATGTTTTAGATAGATAATTAGAAATGTATATATTACCTGTATACAGGGTGTTTCATAATGATGTGCAAATATTTTAAGGTGTTTAGAAAGTAATTTTAGGGAGGGGGGGGCACTTCCAATACTTTTTTTCAATTTGCGTACCTAATCGGCAAGGAAAAGTAATTTATTTTTTTGCTCGAAATCATTAAGTATACAAAAAAATGGAAAGAGTGAAAAAAAGTTTCTAAATGAAATGTGGTTTAAAAGCTATTTTTCTTGTTGGAATTGGCTAACGCAGAAAAAAGTTGTAATAGAAATAAAACCAAGGGGTGTTAATTTCTTCCATTCAAAGATATAAACCAGAAAAAAAGACTACCAAAAAAATGCCATTCAACTAGTTGTTAACGTGTAAATAAGATCCACTTATTATTTGTGGAAGGGCGAAATGGGCGGTGACTATTAGACGCTTTCATTATAGCCATCTTTCTCTATCGCACGGATTTCTATGACTTACTTTATCGCTCTCACGTAACGGCCGATGAACCATGGGGACTTTCCGACCCTGTATAAGGTGTCCAGAATTTAAAGTTTTGTTGAGGTCATAGCAGTAAAGTTAACACCCCACCTCCATCTTCCATCCTCCCCAAACATAATTATAATATTTTTGAATTTCGGATTTCATTTTGTCTATTTGAAGTTAGATCAGAAAGTAGAAAACATATTCTTAAAGCCATTTCCATTTTCTGCATTTTAGCAATTATATCAATTAATTTTTATATGAATTTATTAATATGTCTGCGTTTAGCTGTATACTAGATATTGTTGATATAATTCAGTGCTAATTGGTGCATGTAGCATGTTAGGGCTCATGGATAATTTTGTTAGGAATCTCTTTGAAGTTAGACATTTTTTGCATATCTAGATTTTTAATATCGAAAAACACTGTTTGCTTCATTTGATAGAGGATTTTTTGAATTTAATTGAATTAACTTTATATACATTTAAGACAAAGTAAAAATACGACAACTATTATTAAAATATATATTTTAAAAAAATACAAAATTTATGCATTAAAAATATTACTAAGTATAGGTACTAATTTAAAATGGTCTTATATTTTCCTAAATTAAACTAGAATTCGTATACAATACGTAGGTATACCTATCTGGTCATTCTTGTGTGATATATCTAATTTGATATAACACACAACATATTAACAAATTTGACCTTAAATAACCTTAAATACCTATAGGTATAGGTAGTAGGACAGGAAATAATTGTTAAATATCTCTTAAAATTATTAACAACGATGGACAATCTTTATCCTTTACATCAACGACAAATGAATCAGTAAATATATCTATATTTCCATTAATACGTAGTACTCCAACAGGCATTTTATTATGTCTCTGCTTCATGTATAGAGAAAACACATATTTATTATTCACCTTCTTCCATTTCACATTAACAAAGTGATTTAGGACAGGAATCACTACTTCATTTTTAGTACAAAATTTTTTTGTTACAATCATGTTAAGGGGAAATGAATGCCCTTCATAAAAAGTAATACTCCCATGACTTTCAACATGTTCTGGCATCTCACACAATGTACCTAGCCACTGACAGTTCTTTACAGGGCATAGAAAATCCTTTTGAAAGACACAGTTATATTCATGTTTTAGTAAATCCCAACTAAAATTTGTTTCGGAACAATTCCATCTACAGTAATATTTTACATATTTAAGAGCAGTTGTTTCTATAGGAGCATACTCGTAATTTTTTCCATTGTCACATTTTGTAATACCAAATAAATAACATTTGGAACATATAAAAGTGTCACAACCAGAAGAACATTGTGTACATTTATATACAGATTGCATTATTGAAAACAAATAGAATTTATTTTCACAAAAACAACAATATTTAATAAGCTTATCATTATTTACACTAACCAGAGAACTTCCTGACAAGTGTAAAGTAAACTGTGATGACCACATCTTCTTAAACTCTCTACTAAGATACATTTCATTACTCGATTTGTCAGCTGAATCCCTTAGATTAGAATATTCTGATTTATATACTCTACTGCTACTATGAGACAAACGCAACAATATTAATTTTTGTGCCTTTCTTGTATCTAAATCAATTTCTATATCCAAATTACATTCTTTTATCTTCAAATCTATTATAAATCCATCATAAAAATCTTTATCCTCATATATACAACATGGTCTTTTTTCAGTAACGTGTCTTTCTAATGTGCCATCGGATGCAGATAATATAAATCTCTGTGTTATTTCTCTCGACAATTCTGGCTTTCCTATATGAAATGCATTGAGTACTATGTAATCACTGTTTGAACTTACATAAATTAAAAATAAAAAATTTTCGTTATTATATAGATAGTTCTTATTTTCTATATTTAATCTATTTACATTTAATGAAAAATGGCATCTTTTCAATATACTATCCTTATGATGTTCTTTAAAATGATTTATAAGGACTAAAGGAGACATTTTAGGTACCAAATGGCAATTTGGACAGCTGTATAATCCTGATTTACAATTTTCTTCATGAGATGAAACTTGTGTATATGGCAAGACTTCATTACATCCATCGTATCTGTTTATACATTTAAACAGACCTCTTTCTACTATATTTTCATATAATGATTTTACACCACCATCATTTTCTTCGGAGCAACGTCCACAATGTATATGTTTATTAGGGTACACTTTAACGGGCGACACAGATAAGTACTTTTTGCAGTTATCACAAGTTAAGTTTTCTAAAGTACTGTCCGGGATTAAAAACATTATAAACGTTAAACCATTATAAAATTTTGAATAACTTGCTTTTTAATTTATTCAGTATCTTCGCTTTATTGTAAATTATTACATGTGTTTCAATATTCAGTACACAACTCATTTTATCAATGACTCATTCGTATATAATACGTGATAATACAATGATAACCACAAAACATATAAAAATGATAACGAAGATAAAATCAAACCACAGAATATAGGGTAGAAGAGCGTGGCGTAAGCATAATTAAGTAATCTAAATTCAAATTCTGAAGATTATAATTAACTTACCTTAAAGCATAAGTATGTTTAAATTTTGATGCTGTAAAGAAAATAAAAATAACAGAAAACAAATTGTCTTTACTAATGCGAACAAGTTCATGTTTATCCCTAATAATCAAGAATCAAGCGATTCAGGTTATAATTTCAAATTATGCGCCAAATTAAATCGAACACACTGGAACATTTCTCTTTATTCTATTGGTAACCCGCCCCAAACATCATGAAGCACATATTTTTTGGTTGTTGACATTACATGTACATTTGACGTAAGTGACGTTTATTTGTGGTGTTTTCCTCAAAATTTTCCATAAAATTGTAAATTAAAAGTCTATAAAACAAGAAGAACCGTTGTGAGCTAATTTGCAACTAGAGCACAGTAAGAAAAATAAAATTTGGGTGCCGGTATTATGGCAACGATAATTTTGTTGTGTATAGAATTGTATTATAAACCTATGTAATTATAAAAAAAATATTACTATGTCTAACAACAACGGTGTAACCCCTGGAAAAGTTAGAGGCCCTGGAAGGCCTCCTAAAAAAATAACATCTTGTACATGGTGCAACGAAACTAAATTACCGCTCAAGTATGTATATCCGACAACAAATGGTAAAAAGGAATTTTGTTCAGAAACTTGTCTGGCAGAATTTAGAAAAGCATATATTAAAGGAGCGTGTATACAATGTGACAATGTTATTAGAGGAAATAATAACCCTTCTAAGGATTTTTGCTCAACTTACTGTATGAATAAACATCAAAAGAAAGAGTTACAATCTAGAGTAGCTGCTATTGCACCAACAACTCCTCTGGAAGGTTCTCCTGGACCATTCCAGTATGAGACATATCAACCGTTTGATTGGGATGAGTATTTACGAGAGACAAATAGTGTTCCGGCTCCGCAAAGTTGTTTCAAACAAGCACCCAATCCTCCAATTAATGAATTTAAAGTAGGAATGAAACTAGAAGCGTTAGATCCTAGAAATGTAACTTCTACGTGTATTGCCACAGTAATCAGTATATTAGGTCCAAGATTGAGGTTAAGACTTGACGGAAGTGATAACAAAAATGATTTTTGGAGACTGGTCGACTCTAGTGAGATACATACTATTGGACATTGTGAAAAATCCGGTGGCATGCTTCAGCCACCTTTAGGTTAGTATTATCTAATTTAATAACTAGAAAATAAGTTTATTAAAACAACTTTTTGTGTATATTTTTGCTGTAGTACTTTTTTTGTGTATAAACTGAAGGAATTATTTTTAAATCATACTCATGATTCAATTTATTTAAGTTGTAATTCTTTGAGAGTCATTTTGATTAGGTACTCTATAAACAATGTTTAGTTATTTAGTTAAAGATTGTTCCAAATGTTTCATGATTTTTTTATGTAATAAGAATTTATTATAATCGCCATATTTTTAAGGATTTCGAATGAATGCAAGTTCTTGGCCAATGTTTCTTTTGAAAACTCTAAATGGGGCTGAGATGGCACCTCCAAAGATTTTCCAAAAAGAACCGACTGGCCCAAGAACGAATCTTTTTCAAGTGGGACAAAAACTGGAAGCCGTCGATAAAAAAAATCCACAATTGATATGTTGTGCTACAGTGGGTGCTGTAAAGAATGATCAGATACATGTGACTTTTGATGGGTGGAGAGGTGCTTTCGATTATTGGTGCAAATATGACAGCCGTGATATATTTCCTGTAGGTTGGTGCGCTAAATCCGGACATCCAATGCAACCTCCAGGACAAAAAAATAATTCTGGTGCAAATAGGTAAGTAAATTTGCATTGTTCATATTTATTGTCTAAAAGAATGCTTTCTTCAGGTTTCGATTTAGACCAGCATTCACAGCACCGCCACCTACTCCTCCTGTGAGTTCTACTGCTCCTGAAATTGTACAATCGCCTGAAGCCGATACTTCTGCACCTCCACCTCCACCAATAACCATTCATTTCCGAAAAAATTGTGTAGGAGGTCCTTTAATAGACTCAAATCAGTTACCTTCTACAATAGAAGACACCACTCCTTCTATTCTGGCCAAGAAATTGATAAATCAAATTTTGTTGGCATCTCACAAGTCGGAAACAATTTTAGCCAGACTTGGGGCTCTGAGGGGGGAGGAAATGGTTATTACACATGATGGAAACACCTACACAATTAAACTGCCTCAGTTGAATAAGGCCGGTGATCTAACAAATGTATTTCAGATTGTATCGCAGGCTTTAGGATGCTGTCATAATATATTTGGTAAGTCGTAAAATAAAATTTACTCTAAAGACTAAATTGCTTGGCATTCAGTCATAAATTTTAAAACATTTTATATTTTAGAATACTTTAGAGCTACTGTATTTTAAATTCCAAAATCTTGTAAATTTACATCTTATTTCAAACAAATAACATTAAATAATCTTAAAATAATTACAGTTTTGCATCAGTTAGAATTACCGTGGAGTAGTTTCAAATAGATTCATTATTAGTTTGCCTTTTAAATAATCTGTCTAGTACCACGCGATTTCATTGTCTCTTGGGATGTTATAACTGAATTGGAATTGTTTAATAACATTTTATGAGTCATTATATAAATTGTTTGCGACTTATTTTTTGACTCAATCCCCAATCTTTATAACCCATCTAGTCCACCATCTACAGTTTTGCACTATCTTTGCTACTGTTTTCATACATAAACTTCCCACCCCACAAATATTGTAACCGAGTCCTTTGTACATTGCAAGAGCAGAAAATAAAAAACCATTGAGATGGAAACGTTCATCATCTCACATTTTGTCATGGTTAAAGATTACACCGCCACATTAGTAAGTTACGTTGTGTTTTTTTCGGATGTCAGTCGCCCCAAGGAAAAAAGTGAAATTGGGACTTACTAATGAGCAAACTGAGGCTCACTATAGAAATTAAATGCACCGAAATTCATTTAAAAAGTTATAATTGCCTCTTAACAGTGCCTGCTCCCATGTTGCTGGTCATACTCGTAGATGTGCTTCTTAAAAATTGAAATATTACATTTCCAAAATTAGTGAGAATAACTAACAAAGGAAGTGCCTTACTAAAAGTTAAAGAAAATAAGACGTGGCTAAAATGAAACACATTTGCATTGCATTTAAAATACATTAGAACCTTGAATAACCACAATTTATGATATGGGATCTTGCATGAATAATTAAAAAACTGATATATGTATTTATTTATTTTATATACAGGGCTGGAAAATCCACATGGTCCATCTGTCTTTACAGAGCGACAAAGTAAAGAAATCCGTGCGATAGACAAGGATGGCTATAGTGAAAACGTTTCATAATCTGAATACTCATGGCCCGTTTCGGGTTAGAAGTGGGAGTGACTATTCAGCTTATGAAACGTCTTCAATGTAACCATCCTTGTCTATCGCACGGATTTCTATGACTTATTTTATCGCTCTCATGTAACGGCCGATGTACCATGGGGACTTTCCGAACCTGTATGTGTATGAAGATACATACAGTAAAACTGAATAATATTTATTTTGTATCTACACTTTTGTACAATGGTTTTACTTAAAATTTTCTATTTTCGTTCAATGGTTGAAACACTTCTGTTACATTTTATATTTTAATTTATTAACATGCAACAACAGTAAGCTAATTGATAATGCTACTAAGAAATAACACTAAAAAATGAAGATAGTGAAGCTCCTAGACAGGGTTCGTACAAGCCTGGAAAACTGGGAATACCGGGAAAAGTCAGGGAATTCCGGGAAAAGTCAGGGAATTCAATATTCTTCATATAAAACAAGAAATAGTCAGGGAATTTTAATAATATTCATGAAAGTCAGAGAATTCGACCTTGAACTGACCTTAACCTAGACCTGATCTGGTCAAATGGCCACTGGATTCACTGACCCCAAAAGCGTATAGATACGTAGGTTTACTTTGTTGTCAATTGATTATCTACATTTGACCTTGAACCAGAGCTAATCAGGTCAAACGGACACCGGATTCGGTTTCTTCGACCCAAAAAACAAATAGCTCTACCATGGTCTTGTCTTTCGGACCTTCCACTTTTTTTCCGTAGGGCAGTTGAAAAGCATTACTCACAGACCATGTTTTCTGCAAAATTTATGGAATTTCTAAACAAAATAAAGATTTTGTTTATATAGGTATAGGCATAGGCATATCACTAAAAGCTCAATAAAGAACAATTTACGACATTCTGTCGACTTCATTTTCTAACAAAAAGAACATTCGACAAATAAAACAGTCTTCCTGAACATGTATGCGGGCCTAATATAATTTTTGAAAAACTTTAGATTATATTGAAAATTTATTATTGTGTATTTTATTTAATTATTTCTACCTATTCAAATTATCACCACATTATTGTGCTTTTATAAATCTTACCTTTCCACAAATTATTTTTTTGATAATGATAATATTATCACCATATGTAGTTTTATGGCAAATTTAAATATTTAAAAATAGCTTGCTCCTTTTAAAAACATTTCTTAAACTTTTTAACTGCCACATTTTCATACATTGAGTATAATTTTAAAACTTAGTATGTTTGATCCCCTCCAACTTTTATTTGAACATTTCATTCATATCTCTAATAATGGAGCTATCATACTTTGCCACACTAACATCTACATTGTATATAGGTTTAGAACAAGTGGTTAAGGATTGCCCATCATGCGACGTGAAGTCGGCCTCTCCGGCAAAGCGTAAAGCTCCAGAGCAGGAAGCGGCAACTTCTACGACTCCTGCAGAACCATCAAGCCTAGCAGAATCACCGGTGGCCAGCTTAAGTAAGATACCGACCCAAGAATGGGGTATAGAAGAAGTTATACAGTTCATCGAATCTACAGATCCTTGCTTAGGTGTTCATGCTGATTTATTCAGGAAACACGTAAGTATTTATTTATGTACTGATCTTTAACCAAAGGGGTACATTTGTGACATGTGTAGGTCTTTATGTATGAAGTCCTTGAAGTATTTTGTCCTTAATGAATTTTTGAAGCTATTTAGAAGAAATGTTAATAGGTTAAAATTCATTTAAACACGTAAAACAGCTGCTAACATAATTTATTCTTTTAAAATTATTATATAAAAATTATTTCAAAAGATTTTTTTAAAATCTGTGGTATATATTATGCCATTAATGATTTTCATCATACTACATATTTAATAAAATAGGTATTAATCATATGATGATGTAGATTGTTGAAGTTTATCAGGAAGAAAAGTATGGAATTAATTGGAAGAAATTAGACTTTACGAAACGAACGTCTGTTTTCAGATGGCAGCACCGTGATGACATTCATTGTAGAATGTTATTACAGCTAACTTTTTATTTAGGTAACTCCTCTCTGTCTTTATTATTGAATAAAGAAAAGCGGGGAGTGTTATGAGATTTTAATTGTACTTTCATTTAATAGAGGATGCAATTATTGTCACAGTATTACAACTGTGCGACAAATTTGTTTCATTTTTATATTTTTAAATTACCACTGAAGTAATTACACAAAGCCTTCATAAATATTTACAAGCTACATGACCGCCGAGCTGGCAACCCAACTATGCACTATGATTGGTACTCAGGCCCGGACTGGCCTGCCGCACAGTGTTTCCTTTTCCCGATTTCGTGGCCAAAAATACTTTTTGTTATTGGAATGGGCTAAAAAAAAGGATATTTTGTGCAGGAATAGCGATACACTTTTTCTTTAATTAATATATTTTTACTGTGCAATAAACTAAAATACATTGATTTAAAACTTAATCAATTAACTTAATTATCTTCGGAATATTCCGAATCACAATCGTATGAGGACATATCGGATAAGTCTGCTGATATTAATAATTGTAATAATTTCTGAGATTTTCAATCATTAAAAACTATCTTTTCTTGATAAACAAGTTATATTTCCTGGAGCCGTATTTAATGGTATTCCTAAAATGAGAAACACGATGTTAAATTAAAATTCATAATAATTAGGAAAACAAAAGTATTACTCTTTAAAATTATTTTTCAGGGGAGAATGCGCATTAGATAAGCCAGGTATGAATCTTTCCTTCATACCTGGCCAACCCTAACCCTCAAAAACGCCGAGCCCCGAATTCCTCCGTAGCGCGCGGCCAAACTCTAACGGCTCCGAAATGTGCTACAGCACCTCTCAGCAGCCAAATTTGGTCTCTACTTAAAGCTTATTCCTTCCTCTTCATGATCCATGCAATTTTGAGATGGAAGGCAGCGGAAGTTTTTACTAAATGTCTGTCCGAAAGATTTTCTAACTCAGAAACAACACACTTTTACCGGACTACATTCTAATGCACATTCATTACTTAAAAGTAACAAATCTTTATCATTTCATTGTTAAAAAGTAATCTACATACCTTTAGGAACAACATCCAAAAGAAATTTTTAAAAACAATTCATTAGTTCGAAAAATATTCACTTCACAATATAACTATGTTGGCAGAGCGGCACGCGCGCTATACATGTAGCTGCACGAACTTCAATTTTCAAAGTGTTCACTTGCCTCAAGTAATATACCCAGGAACCTGTCCTTCGGGATTATGATGTCCCAAAGCTCCCTGTATAACATTACAATGATGAAAAATAGAAATGCCGACCTTCAATTTTGGCATTTTTGGCCACGAAATCGGGAAAAGGAAACGCTGTGTGCTGGCATAAAATCGCCTGTTTGTAAAAGGAATTATTACTTTTCTCAAAATTTATCTGAAGTTTTGTGTTTAAGTCTTACTTAATTATACAAAGTTATTTAATGTATAATTTTCGATTGCTTACATCAGTGTCATTTAGCTGCTGAATTATGCATATATTATTTTTTTCCAAACACTTACGATCAATACATCTTGTGTATTTATTCACTAGTTTTTTGAAAAGTCTAGAAGTTGAACTAAAGTTGTAGATATATTATAATATACAATTTTTCTTCTTACAAACGATATCAGAAAACATGAAGATAAAATTCATATTAGCTACTATAAGTTCATTTCTAGGTTGTTTATTTTCAAGTGCTGAAATAAAAAAAAGTTCAGGTGAATCTAGATAAAACTAAAAAAAATTAACATTCAAAAACAAAAATTAAGATTAGCCTTAAAATGCAATAACCATTGCACCGCGGTGCGAAGCACCGCGTCTCATTCATAGCGCTAAATTGAAAATTCAAAGTCGGAATTCTATACCCATTTCTTATTAATTTTTTGAGATCAGGTGGATCGATTTAGATAAAATTTTGCACACGGTTTCTAGTTATTAGTTATTATTTCTATACTTAACCATCGAAACGATTTTCTCGATAAAACAATTTTAATCAGATCTTCGCTAAAAGCAATGAAGGTCCAAGTTGAACATGCATAAATAAAACTGCAAAATTTGGTTAAAACCATACACATTCGTTTTTAAGACATCGCATGAAAAGAATGCAAAAAGTATGTGAGTATAAACGGTATAATTATATGCAGAAATAAATAATCGCACGTAATAACCCTAGTTGTAATTTTTATAAAGTTTTTTTGTAAATCGTTAAATGGTTTTGAGAAAGAATCGTATTGCCAAATCAGTTAGCAGCGGTTTGTTATTTATTAACATTTATTTTTAACAAAACATTTTAATTTTACTTGCATTGATCAAAATTACGCTTGAAAAATGTATTGTAGGAGGAGGGGATAAGGTTGTGCCCCTCAAAAATTGCGCCCTCAAAAAGTAAAGGTTTGCGCCTTCGTCGTGAAGCCAGTCTGGCCCTGTTGGTACTGGTAATGTAAATTCCTTAAATTTTGGCCTCACCAAAATGATTCGTTTCCAATGAACAATAACAAATTGTTACATCTACCCCCTAGATAATGCGATCGCTGATTGATGTAATTTTTAACGAGATTTTCAACTAATTTTGAAAAGGACAACAAATTATTTTCAATAAACTAATGTGTTGCAGGAAATTGATGGGAAAGCATTTTTACTGTTAAACTCAGACATGATGATGAAATACATGGGTCTGAAGCTCGGTCCTGCTCTGAAGATATGCAATTTAGTCTCTAGACTGAAAGGTAGAAGACATGCACTTTAAAAGTATTATGAATTTCTACTTCAATAGTACCGTACTTGGTTGTATACATTTTTTAATGTTGAAAACACTTGCAGAACCATAGGACGTGTGGTCGAACTGTATTGTATTTTTTGTTTTCCTAAAATGTTTGTGATATAACATTACTTTTATACATTTAAGTTTCATCTTTACAATTGACATTGTACAGAATCTTTCTTTTACTTTCCAGAAAAGGAAAAAAATCATTTCAAATTTGTGAATAATATATATTTAATATATTTTCGGTAAATTGTAGTGTAGTGTAAATAACTGTAGAGACAGTACAAGTAAAAGAAAGAAAATATAAAACTGATAGTTTGTAGTGCTATTTTAACGTTTTACGTATAAATATCTTAGAATTTTTGTTCATAGATTTAAGTGTAGATTTTAATGAAAATCGTCATTTTTATGGATTTTTTTTTAGTTGGTCATTAGTAGCAACAAAATATTAACGACGTATTTATTTTTATTATGTTATACTTTACTATTATTTTACAATAATGTTTCTGATTATTTGATTTTGCTCTTTCAACTACTGTATACTGAAAAACAAAAGAATAAAATATTATGTAGGTCTCCATTTACATTTTTTTTCTTAACATATTCTCTAATGTCTCAAATGCCTAGTCAGAGCATTTGAAAATGTAAAATTCCAAGTTTAAACTAGGAATTTTTAATTTGATTTAGAAATTTTTACTTTAAACTCGAAATTCTGACTTTGATCTTGGAATTTGGACTTTAAAGTTGGAAATTCCAAATTTAATATCGAAATTCCAACTTTAAACTCAGAATTCCTTCTTTACACATGGACTTCCTACTTTATACACGGAATTCTGACATTGTTCTAGAAATTTCGACTTTAAATTCAGAAATTCCAACTTTAAACTTGGAATTCCTACTTTAAACTCTGAATTCCAACCTTCATAAAAAAATTTGGACTTTAAATCTGACTGATCTCAAAATTTCGACTTTAAATTCAGTATTCCGAATTAAAACAATTCTTAATTTGAATTCTGACATTATCTTGGAATTTCGACTATAAATTCAGAAATTCCAACTTTAAACTCTGTATCCCAACTTTCATAAAAATATTTCGACTTGAAATTCTAACCTCGAAATTTCGACATTAAATTCAGAATTCAAACAAACTTTCATAAAAATATTTCGACTTGAAATTCTAACCTCGAAATTTCGACATTAAATTCAGAATTCAAACAGAATTCGTACTTTGAATTCTGACATTATCTTGGAATTTCGACTTTAAATTCAGAAATTCCAACTTTAAACTTGGAATTCCTACTTTAATCACTGAATTCCAACATTCATAAAAAAATTTGTGACTTAAAATGCTGACCTCGAAATTTTGATTTTAAATTCAATTCTGAATTTAAACAGAATTCTTAACTTTGAATTCTGACATTATCTTGGAATTTTGTCTATAAATTCAGAAATTCCAACTTTAAACTTGGAACTCCTACTTTACACTGCATTCTGACATTGGTCTAGAAATTTTGGAACATTTTGAAACTGGGAATTCCAACTATAAACCAAGAATTTATACTTTAAACTGGGAATTCTCACTTTCATCTCGGAATTTAGACTATCCAGGTTGTTTCTGAAATAATTGTGTTCTTTGAAAAGGGTGATAGAGGGCATGAAAATGAGCAACTGATAGTCTAAGTCAGCGATATTCAATCTGTTTTCCGCGGAACTCTGGGTTCCGCACAACCTCTATGTGGGTTCCGCAACTCGGTCGAAAATTTAAAATTTTATTATCGATAATTACAAAATTAAAAAAAAATATACTCTCAAAACTTTTTATTTTTATATGTACACGTATACGTTACTAATATAAGAGCTTTAGCTATTTATGCAGGTGCAAGTAGTCGGCTTATAACTTATAAGCTAGCACAACGTTCTTCGCGTTGGTTACGTTGCCTTTCCCTTGATTTTTGGCTAGAGATTTATAAGGAATATCCTGAAATTGCTGACTAAATGTATTAATGCCTTTTGCAACTACGTACCTGTGCGAAAAATCATTTTCCATGTATGTAGCGACAAAAACAAAGTATCGCAATGCGCTTAATGCAGGATTTGAAATGCGATTGCAACTTACGACAATAGCACCTGATTTTAACATATTATGTAAAAATATTCAAGCACATCCCAGTCTGATTGTATTTACTATTTTTTTAATTACTCAATAAATATTTACCTCAACTTTAAAGTCTAACTTTAAATTTTACTTAGTGGAATATTTATTTTGTTAATCGTAGTACATATTTATAAATACATTAAATAATCAGTAAAAAAATGTGTTCGAACATTTTGTAGAGCATATCGTCTATTCGTAAGTAATTCGTTCAATTTTTGTGTTACTTTTAAAAGATAGTTAAATAAATTTCAATATTTTGGAACACAAAAAAAAACCGCCATCAGCCGCACCAGACGGCTTTAACTTTGGTTAAACTTTCATGTGAAAATTTTTCTTTTCAATTTAAAACAAAGTTTTAGATCATCAGTTGCTTAATAAAAATAGCTTATTTTCGTGCCCTCTATTACCCTTTTCTGGGAATACACTTATTTCAGAAACACCCTGTATCCTGTGAATTCTGCTACGGATTTTCGGAAGTAGGATTGCCATTATGCATATTGTTAGCATTTTTACCTTCAGAAATATCTATAAATTCAGAATTAAATTAACAAAGTTGCATATAATTTTGTACGGAATTTATTGCTACTTTCAATTATAAAAAAAAAGAAACAACTAATTTACAATTTCTTTATTTTAAATAACTTCAAAATCGTGTATGCTAAGGAAGCGGAAATATGGATTAGATTTAATAAACATTACAATATGTTTGGGATGTTACTAAAATATGGTAGAAATCTGGAACAGAAATCATTATTTTAAGCAAAAGGTTGTAAACTATGGTATAACTACAGAATGGATGTTAACAACTGAAAGAAGCATAAATCTTTAAAATGTAATAATCTCTTGGAGGAATTACTGATTCTTGCGTTCGTAGAATAGAGAGCGTCTTAATACTCTTCAAAACAAATCATTTTATTGAAACATCAAATTGTATATGGAAAATATATCTGCAGTGTCTCAGAAGTAGTGAAGAAATGAAACATTAACGAGCCAGTTTTACCTAGAGCGAAGAAGGCCTAGGCGTTACGATGATGGTGACACTCCATATGCTTTTCTAATCCCAGAAAATATACATGTAATTATTTTTTGAAATAATGTCACTGTAAATTAACTGAACGATAAATTTAAAAGTGATACTGCTCATTTGGGGGTCAGACTTTGATACAGACAAACTCACGATACATTGAGATACGTTCTTAGACGTGTGCAAGACTTAATATTATAAAGGCCTGATAATGTTTTGTGTTATACGTAAGTCAGAATTTGTAAAATTGCACTACTACACAAGTTTCATATTCATGTCTTTAGTTAACAAAAGTTTTGTTATTGTGAAAAGAAAACTCTTAGCAAGTATTCGAGTAATACGCGAGTTGGTTCTTAAAAGGTAATAGATAATAACCTCTTAACGGGTGATGGGTAATTATCAAATAAAGGAAATATCGGGTGTTACAAGTGAGCACCTGGGTTTTAAAATTAACGAATATCGGTGTCACTTGTTTTCCTTAATGAATAGAACCATATTATATTCACGAAGGTGGTAAACATAATTAACATTTAATTTTTAATACTGACTTGCTATGTTTTTCATATATTCCCAGTTCTAATCATTAGAATAAGTAATAAGAAAACATTAAATCTAAAATTGAAAATTTTTTTTAAGGATGTCAAGCCCTATACATAGCTTAAAGAAAACACTTATCTTTGTCAAAATTGCAATATCTTGTAAACGAAGCCCTAATTAAAATTTAACAAGAATGAAGAAAATTACAGACAATAAGATAAAAAATAATACTTATATTAAACCCTATACGTGCGCATATGAAAAATTTAATTAAAATCACAGAATAAATTTGACAAGTCTATTAAAAATGTAATAAAATATCCTAAAATCAACAATGTTTTTGATAACTTTTTTTAATTTTAAATGACAAATTTTTTCTTGAAAGGGAGGTGCTTAAATGAAAAATAGTCTTATTTCCTTACAAAGTGCTTTACTTTTGTTAAAAAATATTTTGTATAACACCCTAAAGCGATGGCAATTGCTTAAATTTAATAAAAAAATCTCAAAGTACCTGCCGTAAATCTATACGGTAGCTTTTTTTTATCTAAATGAATACTTATCTATATATTTAAAAACCTCACTAGGTACCTTAATCACGGTACCAGTTACAATTAATACCTTTCAATGACCTTGTTAATAATGTGACATTAAATTAATTTTCCTAGTAATAACTTTTTTCTTTGATATGTCAACCTATGGGAACAATTACATTAGAAATAAATAATCAGACAGATTCTTGACCCGTAGTAGAAAATGCTGTATCATTTTTGCCTTGCTCATTTAGATTATTGAACTTATCTTTTTTAGCACCAATTAAACAAAACATAATGGTCTATTTTTTTATTAAGCATGAAATTTTTATAGAATGATTCCTGTTTTTGTAAACTTCCAAGCAATCACTTTGTTTTTTCTGTTAGTACATTGACAAAGATAAATATATTATAACCAAACTGCTTGAGATATACTCGAATGATGTGGTAAAGTGGAGACTATTAATTTGTGTGAACGTAAATAGTTTTGACTTAATATTTGATATTAAATTTTTTTGCTTCACCTTTTATCGAGTACTTAAATATGTCTTTTATCAGTTTATATATTGTATTATATTAACAACATTTTAATGAATTTAAGGTTGATTCATTAGTTCCATGCCATGCGAAATCCAGGCCTTTGCCAGGTCAGTCTTGATAAAAAAAAAATTAATTATTTTTAACACAATTTATAGAGGGTGTTTTCTAAGTTCATATCATAAACTTTAGGAGTTTCTTCCTTGAACTAATTTAGACCAGAAAGTGCACTAACGCATAAAAAAAAATTTTTGAGGGCTATTCTAAAATTTGGTCCTGTTTAGGTAATAATGAAAACTTGATTAGCCTTTTTAAGAAAAAGGCATCTTATTAGATTGAATTGAAAAATTAGTTTATAGAATGTATTTTAACAGGACTTAAATTTCATGATGGCAGGAATACGGAATGAAAATTTTGTTATCTCGAAATCTGATCTGAAAGAAACAGAACATCCCGATGATTTTAACAACAGAAATTCAGGCTGTGGGAGTCATCACAATATGAAGAGGTGGTTTGGTCTGGTGCACTACAATTTTGACAGCCCCGACACAACGCTTTCAAGAACTTTAATGACGGAAATATAATGCTCATAATGTAAAACAAAATATGTTATGGAAAATCATATACCGTTGATTCCAAAAAAATTACATTTTTACTACGCAAATGTGGTACATTTATCGTTTACAATTTTTTAAGGACAGGATTTGTTTTATTTATTTTTTTTCTATAGATCTTGGCCTTCTAATGGACTTGCTAAATTAATTATGCTAATCAGTTAACAATACATGGCTTACTATGTTCTTTTTTAAATGAGGTGGCCAGAAAATAATTGGATTTTTTTAAATTAAAATCTATCAGACTGAAACTGAATCCTTTAAAATCCAGTATCTCAACTTTCATCAATTTATAATGCTGCATATTTTTTTATACAGGTTTAAATAAATTTCAAGTTTATCAAGTCTGTTTTAATTTAAAAATCTAGGAGGCAGTGTAAATACATGAAAATTAAAATTTTGGCGATTACTGACATTCCTAATTATAATAATAATTGGAACATAATAATTCTATAATTTATTTTCACAATTTCAATAACAAAGCTTCTCTTATTGTGACCACCTGAAATCAAACTACAATTTTGTCCAGTTATTCCTGAAACATCCTGTATCACTACAAAATAGCATTAGATATACACACATGGCTTATAAAATCAATGGAAATAGTACATATTGCAACAAGAGAGCAAAATTCTGAATATTTATATACAGGGTGTATGGTAAGTCGATGCTTTTCTTGCAGGAGGCTATAGTACTAGTGATTTGTGATATATTTTCTTAATATACTATATTCCGAAAACGCTTAGTTTCCGATCTACAGGGTGGTAAACTTTTAATTAAAAAATGCAGATTTATAAATATTGCGGAAACCGCTCAAAATATTTTATTGAAATTTTACAAGGTTTGGCAGTTAACAACAATACATGTTTTACGATAAAAATATTGTTTTCAGTTTCACCAGTGGAGTGTGCACTGGCACGTCTCTAAATATTGTTAAAGAAAAAATGATACACCACTGATTTTTCTTAAAATAAAAATTATTTTTGAATTCCTTGTTCAATTTGAAAGAGCAAAGATATCTTGACTGTTTTTCTTATGACGCACCGTTTTCGAGTAATAAAAAATAAGAACGATTTATTGTATGGTGTAATTTGGTTTCAATAATTTGAAAAATCTGCTTCACACTCAAAGTGACAGCTATTATTAATTTTGTCAAACAATAACAAAAACGAGTGCACAGCCAACTTGCTAATTTCTGTTTAGATAGTAAATTGTGAATCTAAACTGATAAAATTTTTTTAGACTGATGTTAACTGCGAGGAATAATTTTCTGTAATAAAATTGGTACAAAAAAAACTGAGTGCATAACTTCTGCTATTTTTCAAATTATTGAAACCGGATTACAATTTACTCAAAAATGGTGTATCATAAGAAAAAGTCACGATACCTTCTCTCTTCCAAATTGAACAAGAAATTCAAAAATAATTTTTATTTTAAGAAAAATCAGTGGCGTATCATTTTTTTCCTTAAAAAATATCCAGACGTGCCTGTGCGCACGCCACTGGTGGAACTAAAAACAATATTATTATGGTAAAACATGTATTGTTATTGTCAAGGCTTGTAAAATTTCATTAAAATATTCTGAGCAGTTTCCGCAATATTTATAAATTTGCATTTTTTTATTAAAATTTTATCACCCTATAGATCAGAAACTAAGCGTTTTCGGAATATGGTATATTAAGGAAATATATCACAAATCACTTGCACTATAACCTCCTGCAAGGAATGCATAGACTTACCAATCACCCAGTATATTCCCAAGTTCAAATTATTTACATCAAATTTAGAATTTGCATTTGCATTCATATTCGTACATTTCCTTGCATTTTGCCAACGAATGTGAATATGTAAACTAAAAAAGATTTTGAGTGGTTGAACATTTTAAGGAAATTTGATTTTTAGAAAAATGTCGCCACTAAAAATAATCTAATTAATTTTTACCATATGGTACACGTTATTTTGATAAAAACAATACAGGCAAAATGTTATCATGCATTTTTTAGCCTAGGGTTGTTTTCAGTTGCAAAACAATATTTAAAAAAAAATTCAAATCAGATAAATAACTTCCAGCATTTATCGAGCGAATTTTCCTTAAAGGGGGGCGTTTATATGTGCAATTTTTTGTAATTTTTTTTTTAGAAATCCAAGCAAGTTAGAAACTATATCTCGTACCACTTATATAAATATTATTCAGGGCATAAGACAACTGACAATATATTCAAAATGAGGAAAAAAAAATCATATTTTTACCTCCCACGTTTATTCCCGAATTTTGCACACCCGTGGAGCATACAGAAAATCGCTTACAGTATTGTAAACATTCACACCCCGCACGATACTTCTTGGAAACTATTAACAGATGCATTGATAACAGTTATTGAGTATCTTTACACTTTGCTGGACAAAATAGGAAAGCCACATTTTCTGATGTTTACACGTTCCCAGTGATATTTCAATGCGAAAAATTAAAATTGCTCTAGTTTAGCGGTGTGCTTCGTGACTTCTTGGATGGATCTACTACTTGTTCTATCATTCTCTTACTAAATGAGAGATTTCTTGTCAATAAAATGTTAGTCTTAATGATACTTTTGCTAACATTGATAGTTGTCGATTTACTTTTAGTGTCCCATTAATATTCAGTCTCACATTCGCTTTTGTGTTTATCGATTTGTAATAATTATTTTATCTTATGTAGCAAATACTATTTTTACTACTTGTATATTTTGTTCAATTTAAAATAAACCGTTACACAAGAAATAATTTTTTAGTAGTTTCCTTTCAAAAATTACTCTATTGATTCCGACATTTGACCAGCGATATCAATTTATTTCAGTTTTATAATCATCTTGTTTTTAGATATGTACAGAACTTTGATATTTTTATTGAGAAAACCTTTAAAAATATCCTTGTTTCGGCTAAGCCAAGAGAAAATCCTTACTTTAACATAAATTGAAAAATAATTAAAATTCCCACACCATATGAAATATTTTTTCTAACATTTTTATCATTCAAAATATACTACTTTAGATATTATGACAAGATCTATGTACCTGATCATCACCAGTTAGACTTACAATGCACTTCCTTAACCTTAGCTCTGACCTGTTCTCGGCCTAGACTCTGTGGGGGCAGATCCTTAGACCATATAGCCTAGAACAAGGGCAGGTCCAAGATTTCTAGAGAAGGCCGAGGAATTACAATGTAATTCTGTAACTGATGGTAACCAAGTGTATAGGATGTCTCACAACTACCCAAAAAACCATGGGACTAAAATCAGCGCAAGCAATAAAAAATCTTAAAACTACCATGAATTTTAATTTTTTTGGGAGGGTTCCTCATCGTCTTCTTGTCCTGGAACGGCAAGTTGTCCTGCTGTATAATTATTATCTCTATAAGAAAAATATCGAGATAGGTTGTTTTTAATAAAAGAAAACACATTTAATAATAGATTTATTAGACATTGCCACACGGCATTACTTAAGTAATATAATAATAATAATATGTAAACAGTTTGTATCTAATCAACTGATCGTTTAAAAGTTAAAGGAAAACCATTCCGGTTACAAAACATCGTTCTGCACATTTTTTATGCCTCAAAAACTATGTACAATGGAAGTGTGCACTTTACAAGAAAAATCAACCGTTTTGATAAAATACAAACCACGTCTTAACAATATTCAACCATCGCTGAAAATATTAGTGTTGATCAGAGAAAAACAGTTACCACCTTCAAAATGACAGTTCGATAATCTATGTACAACAATTTTGTTAAATCCCCTTTCCAGAACAATTCGTCTTTGCTTAGATTCTATTTATACAAGAACGAACCGCCGTCTTAAAGCGATAGTAAGCATTTGCTGAATTTAACGTTACACAAACTAACATTTAGATTAATACGTGGAAAACTACAAAGAAACCAACTTCGCCTTGTAATAACACAATTTAATCCATACGCTAAACTTCGACTCGCGATTCACTATTTTTCTTCAATTAATTTTGCCAAATGTTAATATTTCCTCAAGGTTTTAAGTTTTAGGTCAGAATTAAACTGTCTTATTTGATACTTATAACCAACCAAAGCTCTTTACATCATTTTTCTCAATTAAATATTTTTAAACGGTAGCAGTTTTGACCAGAATTTTACACTAAATATAAAATTTTGCTATGGAATAACAAAGCTAAAACTACAAATGAAAATTTTCAATTATTTTTAAAATTGTGCTCTTGAAATAGATAAAATTGTTTTAAAAAATTCCTCTTCGATTCACTAAGTTATGTATACAGGGTGATTCATAACTGTAAGTAGCAAAGTATATTAGATAAGATTGGAAAATTATGAGCATTTTCTTTTTTAGTCAGCTGGGCCTGTTTATGAAAGTACGGCTCTGCAAATTGCTAAAATAAAATTTAAGAATTTCTAACGAATCTGGCACGGTTTAAAATGAACACTTTATAAACTTGAAGGTGTAGTACAAGTTCCTTTCACTGAAAACGTAAAATAATCAGTGGCATAGATGTAGGGGTAGTGGGGTCACTTTTATAAAAAAATAGTTTTTTCTTAACTACTTGTATTGTTTTTGTATTTAGTCATGTCCAAAAAAAATCTCAACTAAGTTTTTTTATATGAGGTATAATTACGATTATCGAAATTTCTGCAATAACAAAAAAATAAAAATAAAAACATTAGTCCATAAATTAATCAGTAGGCTTTGTAGATTTGACATCAAATTGTTTCAAAGTGATGACAGTTAAGCATAAACTATCTTTACCAAATTGCTGTTTTCTGTTCTAAAGACAGGTTGAAAAATATTTTTTCCGGTTCAACCCGACCACGAATTGCATACCGTTAAGATTGCATCAAAAGAACATTTATAAAAATAGTTCATCCGTCATTTACTTGAAACAATTGAAATTTTCACCCAAGGCCTACTATGTAATTAATTTATGCATTAACATATTGGTTTTTACTGCAGAAGTATCGAAAATTGTAATAATTTTGAAAAACACAACTCCCATTAAAAATTTACAGCAGATCTTGCAGACAAATTGCATACCGCTAGATTGCAAAATTTATAAAAACAGCTCATCTTTAATTTATTTGAAACAATTGAAATTGTAACCCAAAGCCTACTAAAATTGTAATTGTTTCGAAAATCACAACAGCCGTTAAAAATGTATAGCAGACAAATTGTACTAGATTGCATAAAAAAGTTTAAAAAATAGTTCATTCATTTGTCCGAAACAATTGAAATTGTCACCCAGGGCTTACTAATTAATTTGTGCACTAATGTACTGCTTTTTGCTGCAGAGGTATTGAAAATTGTAATTGTTTCGAAAATCACAACAGCCGTTAAAAATGTATAGCAGACAAATTGTATGCTACTAGATTGCATCAATAGGTTTAAAAAATAGTTCATTTATTTGAAAAAATTGAAATTGTCACCCACGGCCTAAATATTACCTAGTAAGTAATTTGTGTACTAATGTATTACTTTTTACTGCAGGTATTGAAAATTGTAATTATTTAGAAAATCAGAACTGCCATCAAAAATTTTAAGGACAAATTGCATCAAAGGTGTACAAAAATTCCTCGTCTGTCACTTGTTCGAAACAATTGAAGTTGTCACCCAGGGCCTACTAATTAATTTATGCACTAATGTATTGCTTTTAACTGCAGAGGTATCGAAAATTGTAATTATTTCGAATACCACAACTCTCATTTAAAAATTGTAAAAGGTAATTTAAAAAATTTCGATTTATTAAATTTTATCTATGAAAATAATATGAGATTATTTTTTTGAAGAGACTTTTACTATACCTTTTAGACAGCTCTGTAAACAGGCCCAAATGATCAGTTTAAGAAAGTTTCATAATTTTCAATGTTTTTTTACCATAGTGTGCTTTGCTTCTGTGTCACAAAATTTGGACCATCTGTATATTTTATTATCTTTTTTTTTTTCACTAAAACTGTCGGTCAAATCGGAAGTGAAAAATTTGGTAACTGCGGTGGTCAATAAAAATTAATTCGCAGTTTCAGGTTTACACTTTTTAGCAAACCGACTCAGCTTCCTTTTGGATACAAGTTGAACTCTTAAACGCACAAAGCCGATACCAAACCAGTGAATGAATGAAAGCGTGTTCGGTAATACCAAATAAAAAATGTTTAACGAAAAAAAAAAGACCGATATTAAACACTACAGTGCCCCTAACAGCGTCGACGACATATTTCCAACCCGCCCCGCGATATTAGCGACACGTAAATCAAACCCAAGACGTTCCTTTCCCTTTGGTAACAGATACGGATTAATCCAATGCAACAACTTAATCAACACTCCCGAATCAAAAGAACCTACGCACTCAAGAGTACACCACGACGACACACCGAACTTGTGTTTAAACCTCGCACGGTGACAGCAACATTGAAACAAAACATCTACCTTATCCGGCCCAATAAAAGTCCATATCACTATATATTTGCACAATAAAATAAAACTGCTCGTAAAAGAAGAAACGATTAACTAATTTAACCTTGTTCCATAGGTTCCGATTGGCCGCCGACATGCAAAGCACTCAAGTTGATAAAAAAAAACAATCAATAACAATTAAACTAATTATAAAGCGAAAGTCAGCAAACTTTGCATGCCTTTGGTCAACGGAAGCACAAAACAAAAAGTCTACTCCTGTATTAGATTAGATTGCAAGTGCCGGGACGCTATATAGGACGCCCCCCGGCTCACGGTAAATAATAAATCGACTATATACACAATCAACAAAGAAGCTAAAATGACATATATACCTATAAATTTATTAACTGAAATAAAACTAAATGAAAGAATAGAATTTGAGTGGCAATTGTTGTAATAAAGTACTGTGCCACTGGGCTCGTCGCAGTACCCAGCGACAGCTTGGTTGAATATTTATTCACTTGAGTCTTTTACACTAGATAGCACCCAAATTGGTCAGCGTCCGTAATCACTTTGTTTTAGGTGCATGGCACACTTGTGGCGGGGTTCAGATTTTCTGAATCTTTTCACCAACGACCACGGGATTGTTACGTCTAATTTCCTGAGCTCCCATCTCTCGGTAGTTAAAACTACAGTCGTGCTTGTCACTGTACCGATGGATCGCGCAGAACAGTCCTCCGCAGCGGCACTCAAATCCTAAAGACATAAAAAAATCTTATAAGTACCTCTGTGGCAACTGCGAAATTTTGTCAATTTCGCCAGTGAAAATATAATCCCCTCAGCTCTCATAATCTTGGCGCACATTGGGCCACGCGACTCGACAAATAATAACACAGTAACATTTACTGTGCCTGGCACTAACCAAATACCTGTCAAGTCAACCCCTAGCGGCATTTTTTCACATCACTGGGGATAATATCTCAATTAATTTACTATTTCTTTAATATTATCATAACAGTTCACAATTAATAATAATAATAATAATAATAATAATAATACATAATTTTATACATATCTTACTTAGAAACACTGTTGAAGTATGATCTAAATAGGAATTAAAAATTTTGCTACGATTTCGAACTAGATTTTTCTGTTCTTTCCACTATTTCAGCATAATTATTTCACATNTAATAATAATAGTAATAATAATATGAATAGAAAAACGTAATACATTAAATCTTGTTGAGAATTTGCATATACAGATTTTTTAATATTCTAATTAAACACGGTGTCTCAAAATACAATGTGTACAATATTTGTTGAGATACAATTCCGAGAAGACCCCTGTATCACTTCCTATCAACAAATACTGTATGTGGACTATATTTCAAGGTAGCATCAACAGATAAAAGCCCATGAAGTTTATTTTGCAAAATGGTCTGAAAATCCATAATTTCCAAAATCTAGGTGTTCAAGTCAAAAAGAATTTCTCATGAATATATTCTAACAGATCATCTCAAAATACAAAATGTCCATTAAAGTTAGGTTTTGTTTTTTGAGTGTTGAAATTAAAAAAAAAATAGAACATTTATAAACATTTCTTGTGTTTCTATGCCACTGAATACTTTGTGAATTTAATTCTGGTTAATGTTTCTAACCAAAAAATAATCAAAACTCAAAACTAGTTTTTTTTTTTAATTGGAGCCACTTAGAAACACCTATAGCACAGTCATTATAGACATGAAAGAGCCTGTTTCGGGAAAAACTACTATTAGAAGTTTCTCTGCGGAATGTTGTTCGGAAACCTGTTATAAATAAAATATCAAAAAATCTACTCGAGGCGAGTTGGGAAACTTTGTTTTAACAGTGGTCAAAGTTATGGAAAAGTGGTTTTTTGACTCGCGTAAAAAAACTATTATTCATAGCGAAAAAAGTTTATACAAAAAAGGTAGGTATTAAATAAGCTTATAAAATGAGAAAAGTCTGATTAAATTCCGATAATTCGTTTATGCACAAGAACTCAAAAATGGTCGAAAATTGCCGTTTTTTTCAATTGCTAATAATTAATGCAATTTTCATCGTAGACACTTGTAATTCAGGATTTTTGAGGCTTTTTACACCCTTAATAAGTGGTAAAAATTTCAGCCTGAAAGCTTCATTGGTTTGGCGTTGGCGGAATTTGTTATCTAAGAAGATGCTATTTTCAATTCATTTTTCCCAAACTCACAGGCGTTGTAGAGTTTCGATCATTAGTTGTTTTTGTACCTAAATAGTTGTATTGACATATGCATTTACTGAGAATTTAGTTTTTCAAATTTAATTTGTTTAAAAATGACTGAAAAAATGTTAATATTTATTAAATTGTTAAGATAGGTAATTATTATAAAATAAAATAGTAACCTCTATATTTTAGTTTTCTTCGAATTAAAAAAAAAAAATCGTAAGTTGATTAGCTGATATATTTTTTTTTTATTTAATCGCAGACCTTAATTATTAATATTAAGAGCCGAAATTTGGAGAGAGTATACATTAAGAGCTATATTTTCATGTCCTACATTAACATTAAGGTGAATTCAACTATTTAATTGCGAAAAAGTAGATAGCGGCGATGCGTTCTATTACTTGGTCTAGCGAACGAATGGGGAGAGCGAGGCTTAGCATGCGCGCTTAACAATTTAATAAATATTAACATTTTTTCAGTCATTTTTTAACAAATTAAATTTGAAAAATTAAATTGTCAGTAAATGCATATGTCAATATAACTATTTAGGTACAAAAACAACTAATGATTGAAACCCTACAACGCCTGTGAGCTTGGGAAAAATGATTTGAAAATAGCATCTTCTTAGATAATAATAATAAATTCCGCCAACGTCAAGCTAATGAAGCTTTTGGGCTGAAATTTTTACCACTTATTAAGGGTGCAAAAAGCGTCAAAAATCCTGAATTACAAGTGTCTGCGATGAAAATTGCATTAATTATTAGCAATTGAAAAAAGCGGACAATTTCGACCAGTCTTGAGCTCTTGCGCATAAACAAATTATCAGAATTTAATCGGACTTGTCTTATTTTACAGATTTATTTAATACCTACCTTTTTTGTATAAACCTTTTTTCTCTATGAATAAGCTGATCGAGTCAAAAAACCACTTTTCTATAATTTTGACCATTGTTTTAACAAAGTTTCCCAACTAGTATCGAGTTGATTTTTTGATATTTTATTTATAACACGTTTCGGAACAATATTAAGAGATATTTACATAAATGTGATTTGTCTTTAATTTGAACACCATCTCAAAAACAAAGCATTTTGCAGCCCATGTTTATATAAACTTTTTTTATTTCGAGGTGCTCCCCAAATAAGTTTGGTGTCCGCAATTCGGGACACTCTTTATATTTAGTACTAACAAAATTAAGCTGGTAATTGAAGAAGAGGATAAGGATAAATCAATATGCAAATTTTTCAGGAGTGGCAAAAAATGCGACTATCAAAATTTTGCTGTTAATTTTTTACTTTTTGTATCATTTGGTTAAACAAGTAGACCATCTGCATCTGGGTTCATACAGTCGCAAATTGCAAATTTCAAAATGCAAATATTGTTTTGATTGATTTATTTAAATGAAAAGCAAACATCTGAATGTAAATACGTTACTTATCTTGAAATAGATGTTTAAGAAAATACATTTTTTACAAGAAAAAAACTGAATAATTAATTTTCATGTTTTAAAAAATACTTTGGAGTCCAGGACGAACACATAAATATATTTTTTAAGTGTTTAAAACACAAATAATTAAAATTCAATTTAAGCGAAGCTTAATATTTTCATGAAATAATTGTACAATCTACCCTTAACTGTTTGTGTACTACCTCATGAGACACCCTGTATAATTACAAAGAATGAATATTTTCAACATTTCCAAGTAAAAATGCTTAACTGTTTGTGCACTACCTCGTGGGACACCGTGTATAATTTCATAGAATGAATGTTTCCGAGTTTTTAAATGTAACTACCCTATTACTTATCATAAAAAACGTAAATTAGCATTCGTTATCAACAAATGAGATTAACTGATTAGATAGATATGCAAAAGAAACATCACATTAGGTACTGAATAAAATAAAGATGAAAATTTTGTAGACATATTTTTATTTGCAATAATAACCTCTAAAAAATGATTTAATAATTATTTACTATACAACATAAAAACTTTGCCTAGCCTATTTATGAGGGTGCTGGATACGAATCTGCAATTATTTTTTATAGTCACTCAATTTGAGAAAATTTTTCCAAAATTAATACAACCCTCGAACCCTCACTATACAACATTGTATAATCTATACAACTTTTAAAACCCATGTAATTAGAGCTTTAGTAATTTCTGAGAAAATTTTTGAGAAACTTGAAGGAAAAATTAATTTATTTAATACAGACATACTATTCCCTGGAATTACATCGGCCATTTCCATTTCGTAACGTCAATGCGTCGTAATAATCGAATTTCCATTTTTCATATGTCATCCCCTATAATAAGGTTAAGTATCGCAAATTTATTTCTATGCGCATGTAACCTAACTTTTTCTGAACAAATAATATCCTTCATAAAGTTAAGTTAGGTCAAGTTATTGTTTATATAGAAAATAACAAAATAGCCGAACTTTATGTAGAAATCTGAGGATATCTTGAAATAACCCACATGGCTTAATTACACTTGTTTGAAGAGTTGGGTTCAGAATAAAAAAAAAGGAATATTTGCTTTACCATTCCAGGTTATTTATATCTATTTAGGTATATATTGTTTATTCCATATCACGCAACTCGCATGAATGTGCAAGAAAAGGAAGTTTGCAGTACTCCTTATGGCTAGTGATTATATAAAAAAAACAGGGTTAAAAGGAACTATGATGTTCAAGCAATTTTATTGCATGAATCGTTCAAAGGGTCATTTTAGATGAAAAAACCGCGGAGTGCTATTAAATTAGAGGGTGGAAATTGGAGATAGGGGTGAAAACCCTTTCAGTTTTTTAATTGTAGCTCGAAAACGAAGCAAAATTGCGCTATAGTTCATAGGAAAAATTATTTAGAGAATTGAATTTCACATCGAAATAGATTATTTAAAAAATTTAAAAGGAAAACTTTATGCAAAAAAATCGTTAATAAATAATTTGAAAAAAAGCAAAAAATTCGATTTTCTGATTTTTTTTTGCTTTTTTGCCTCTAGTTTTTTTTTGAGTAAAGATAGGTATAGGCATTGCTTCATAGAAAAAAAATAAATAAAATTTCCTTCAAAACAAGAGGTTGTAAAGTATTTTTGGATGAAAATTGACTGATACATAACCACTCAAATTCAGCCATTTTTTCTAAAAATTGGCTAAGTTCGAGCTGCCATATATGTCAATTTTCTACTTCTATCTACTTTTTTTTCTATGAAGTAATGCCTATACCTATCTTTACTCAAAAAAAACCTAGAGGCACAAAAAGTAAAAAATATCAGAAAATCGAATTTATTGCTTTTTTCAAATTGTTTAATAACGATTTTTTGCATAAAGTTTTCCTTTTAAATTTTTTAAATAAGCTACTTCGATGGGAAATTCAATTCTCTAAATAATTTTTCCTATGAACTATAGCGAAATTTTGCTTCGTTTTCGAGCTACAATTAAGAAACTGAAAGGGGTACATTTTCACCCTCTAATTTAACAGCCCTCCGCGGTTTTTCATCTAAAATGACCATTTGATTGATTCATGTAAAAAATATCTTGAACGTCATAGTTCCTTTTAAAATCGTATATTCAATAGCGTATTACTCCACACACCTCAGACAAAGACGGCAAACGGATGAGAAAGTACAGAAATTTTTACGGCATAGCGGAAGAGATGCAAATTTCAGTTTAAAAATACAAAATTATATACAAATAAATACGTGTCGACGTTATTTAAAAAAAAAACGAAAGCTAGATTCGAAAGCACAAAAATAATTTCAGATTCGTCTGCGATACTGTCGAAAATAATCACTAATATTTTATATATATGAAATATGCACACCATTTTATTTTGACATGTTTTTTTTAATTATTATTTTACTTATTGTATTATTAAGTCAATTCAAATTAATTCTAAAAATGCTCCTAAAATCTCATCAAATGAAGTGATATTTAGTATACATATACATATCTATATTATTTTTATGTAAATTTCCGTTTCATACGCACAATATAAAAGTTGGTTCAATACAATCCCCTCGATTTTTAACAAACAGCAGCAGCAGCAGAACTCACCTGTCAACCCGACCTTCTTGCGGCAGGTGGCACATCGGTTCTTCTTCTTCTTGGCGTCCTTGTCGCTATCTTTGTCGTCGCACCCTGCGTCGGTCACCGCGGACGCTGCGGCGGCGGCCGCTGCTGCGGCTACGGCGGCGGCGGCGATGTTTTCGGCGGCGCTGACGGCCTGCTGTGCTGCCTGCGTCTGACTCGAGCACTCTTCGGCGGCCTGCGGGAAGAAATACAAGAAAAATGAAAGGCGTAAATTCGAACCTCCGTCGTTCCACCTGCTGTCTCTCGACGTCGGCGGTTACGAAAATGTCGTTATCGGCATTCTCGCCGCCGTCGCCGGCATCTTTGTCGAAGGCGGCGCCGAGGCCGTCGGACGGAAATAAGTTGCTCTCCCTACTGTCCGGGCTATTGGCGGAGGATGATGAGGATGGTTTTTGTATTTTGTGATCAGATGATGACATATAAATGCGGACTATGAATTTTGAGGTGAAATGTCACGGTGGACATTGCATCCGTCGTCGTTTCCATAGCAAACGTCCTTGTATAGGGGGGCGGGTAACAAAGCGATCTCTTATGAAGAACTGGGATTACCATGACTTCAAAGGAAGAGAGAGAAAACAAGTTTAAAATTTAATTTTGTTCGCTTACTCAGTGTCCTTTACTTTTCTTTCATAAAAAGACATATTTGAATTGGATTTCATTTGCAGGCTACCCAAGTTCTTCATAGAGCTAATGAAATGATTTAAAATTTCCCTAACTTAGCTACAACAATAACACGCACAGAAAATACGTAAGCACTGCCATCTGTGCTAACTGATTCACTTAAACTATTAACAGCATTATTCATATGATTCATTATTGTGTATCTATCAAATGTAGAATTATTATGGAAGATCGGTAAAACGTAAATCACTTTAATGTACAGCAATTCAGCAAAGGTGTCTATAAGTCAGTTATATCGATCACAACAAAACTTACTTCAATAGGAAGATCACTAACGGGTGAGGATGGAAGATGACTAATGGTATGGTGCGCTGTCGCCGTCTCTCTAAGAGCGCTCAGAGATGTAGGTGTTGTTGGTAGCTGCTGTTTCTTCTTTAGGTTTTCCTAGAAGAAAAAACTACGTTTAGATATCACAATTAACGAAGAATTGATTTTCAATTTAAGTAATCCTCGTTTTTTTTAATACATCCTTACTTTGAAGCAAAGCGAGCAGAGACCATCTGTAGCCGGACTGCCGTAGAAACCACATCCTGATCGGCACAAGGCCTGCATAGGGTTAGATTCACGCTCCATGGCGCCCCAAACGTGATAAAGACACCAATAAAGAAGTCCTTGATGGAATCAGTTGTACGAACAAAATCACTCAGTTAGTCGGAGTGGTTACCCTGTCACCAAAGAAATTCAGAGGTACTAATCTGAAACAAAACAAAATGTACTGAATTTCATACATCAAAAATAGCTCAATTTGATTTATTAAATCAAAAAGAAACTTTCGCAATAGCGACTTGAGCCGAGTTTAGATCTACTACACACGTACTTGCTTGTGCATGCAATACAAAAATATGTACAAAAACTGTTTATAAACATATACAAATGCATTATTTGTTTTTTGTTTTCCATCCAGGACGAAAAACAAAAATATTAATCAGAAACATTTGTCCGCAAACAACTAGTGTAGACACATTTATTTTCAATGCCCACCCAACGTCTTTCATTTCTCCTTCTTATATTTAGAAATATGCAGGCTACCAAAAAATTTTGTATTCATTTTGGAATATATTCTTTGAAATACTGACCCAGAATGGATAACATTTTCTAATGTGAACAAATTACTTCTGTCCTTAAACTTTTGTTCAAGAGCAAACAAAAAAATATTTCATTGTTTGGTTTAGATTAAAACTAAATGTTTTTGTTTTTACATCGGACATAGGTACAAATGTTTAAAACCTTTTTTATGTGGAAATTGTTTGTAGGTCTTTAAATTTAATCTCGGACCAAACACGATTTTTTCATGGTAACAAAAAACACAGCAATTACTTAAAGAACGTTATAAAAACGATATTTTTCGACTAGGGAATTTTATAATTTATATTTCAGACAGTTTAGAATTTATTCAATAAAGGATTTGTCTGTAGTTCAGATATTAAAATAAAACTGGGCAGCAGATACGTAAACAATGCCGATTGTTGTTGACGTTGATGCGACGCAAAAGACCTAAGTACTATAAAATCGTTGTTGACGTGATATTCATATAATAAATTTTTCCTAGCGTTTTGCAGCCTACGAGAATCGGGCACACAATGGGTTTTAAACCTCAGGTTTTTGTGGTTTTTTTATCGTTTATTTGTTGTTTAAATATATCTCCTATAAAAGTAAAAGTATCAGTGATATCGTATCACACAAACAATATTTTTGTTGTTACAACACCGACAACAAAATTTAATATGATTTGAAATAGAAGTGAGAGTAATTGTTTTTTGCAGATATGAGCAATGATATTCGTAATCGTAAATAAACCGTTAAAATCAATATATCAGACTAATATACATGTAAGTATTCTACTCAAAAACAAATAATTATAGACAGTATAGATAATGTTAAAATCTGAATTTCCATGAACTTAAGTCCATCTTTAAGCAATGGTTGGTTTATTTTTTATATCTAAAATATTGAATGAACCCTACTAATGAGAATTAGAGAGAAGGGAATCACAACTGTAGGGTTAACACGAGAAATCGTTTTCATGTTGATGTTAACGAACGCACGCACACGTGTACTAGTTTCGTTTATTCTCATCTGTATCATTAATAAATCCTTGAAACAAGATTTAGAGTACGCAAATTAAAAGCAGAAATAACTATTTTTTTAATTTGAAGAAAATTAGTAGATATCCAGTGTGATTATGTGAAATTTCCTGACCTGATAACATGCTGAACATTTTTTGATTCTATAAAAATCTTTAAATGTTTTTTTAGTTATAGAGAATTGTTTGTTATATGTAGTTTCCTTTCAAAGTCTAATCATGAAAATTTAAGATTCTGTTTCTTTTTATCGTTTTAAATTTGACAATTTGTGCTTGACCTTGAGTAATTTCATTATGAGAGCATCGAATCCGGATTTCCGATCCCGAAAATATTAATTTTGCTTAAATGTTATTTTTATCTCATTAAAAGTTTGTTGCAGCAACATATGTTTTTGCTTGGTTTTATTTCAAGTTTATTTGAATTGTCCAATACTTCGGAAAAAAAACGGAGGAACTTTTCCCCAATTTCTTCGTTTTATTTTTCGAAAATGTTGCATTTCTAATACATACTAATCTAATTCTAATAGGATCCTATTTGCTTAAAATACAAGAGTGAAATAAAAATTATTTTTTATTGCAGCACCATTTACGATTTACTTTGGAAAAATTCTAATCGACGCGACGTCATGTAGAAGCTCTATCAACTGATTCACCTAATAACGCTGTATGGGGGTCTCGATAGAAATGGATTACAATTAGACATTAACCTGGTCAGTTGACTCAATACTAAATTAATCTTTGTTCGAAATTTGTGTTAATCTTAAAACAGCCTCTATTCAAAATGCTATGACGATATTTTCTTTAAAGGTGTCAGAAAAATCAACTTTTGGCTTGTACCGTACACATTCACAGCAAATGGTTGGCGCCATTGACGTCATTTACCGCAGTCTTAAAAATAGGACCACTTGTTACTCAATCTCAATACACGGTGTAAAATATTTTACTAAAGGAATATGGTAATTACTTAACAGTCAGCAGAAGTGCACAACTTAGGTTTACCCAATTTTATACATACACCATTTCTAAACTTTGTAAACACATTCTTCCATACAAATACATTTGCGCAAGGCGCTATTTGAAACCAACGTTACAGCGTATTCACATATTCAACACAGAACATACTTTATAGACGTGTTCTTGAATAATTGTTCTTGAAACACAATAAAAGTTGAAAATCTGTCAGAAGAATAAAGTTGTTATGACACATGAAAACTGACGTAATTTAATTTTGAAAAAATACTTTTTCAGGTGTAACATCCAACAGGGGCGTGCAAGCAGGTTTTACTTTTTTTTGGCTGACGCAACTCTTGGCTACAATATCTAAGCCTCATAAACAAGATAAATTCCACTGTTAACTGTTCACAATAACGTTCTGCTGTTGGCACGATCCAAGATAAGGTCTTATCGAAAGCGGGGAGACACAAACATATTCCAAAATAAAACGAAACCTCGAAAAAAATTATATGGAAAGTTCAGAGCATTCTAAAGTGCCATTAGTGTTAACATAGAAAGTCTGAAACGTAATACTGAACTTGTTTGTTGGTAAACACAAAACACCAGCGGTTTTCAAATCCAGTGTAAGCCAGTTCGATAATAAGCACGTACAATCGGTCCTCCATCATAAGCGGAAATATTTTTTGATGGAAAGATTTATTCAGGTTCAACTATTTAAATCGCTTAAAAATCAGTTTAGGAAAAAAATGAGTAATTATCGTTTCCAATGTTTAAAGTTTCCAAAGCAAAGAATGATTAATTCTTGTTCTCCACGGTCAAAAAATTCTAATCTGATCTCCATTTCACCTAATTCCTGGTTCTCAGCTTTCGTTATCGATTGTGTGTCTGGACGAGCAATCTCCGTCGCGGATCAATTCCGTACAAGCCGTCTGTACTGCTCCACATATTTTATCAAAGCAGCAAGTGTTACACTGACCAACTTTTCATTTCACAAACAGATTCACATTCTTTTATATGGTGTACGTTCTCTACTCTACACGACCTCTATCCGATTTTATCACAGACTTAAATCAACCTTCAGAACAGCGCATAACGGACGGTACCCGTGCATTTAATGCAAATAGAAATGTAAATAAGAGAACCGTTACCGCACGACAGATTCAGCGAAAACGACCGTGGAACTAGTTTACACGCATACAGGTATGATGCGATTCTCAATCGCGTGGGTACCTTAAAGAAACAATTTTGGGAATAACGAACCACTGAATCGCTAATAAACTGTCCACAATTATTATAACAGAATTATCACATGTATTTTTCCAATCTAACTCCTATTTACATAAAACTTCTTTTACAGATCGTACCTTTTCTATAACACTATAGACTGTTTGGAAATGAAAGAGAGTAATAAAACCCCGAGATAAGAACCGGCCATGGGCGTGGTAATATTTCGTTTCAGGTAATTATCGGGTAACACTAATGCTAACAGGTAATGGGTGTACATTAGTATATTTTACTGGATACATCATAGGGCAGGAGCCAGTGTATTGTGACAGATCAATCGTCTTAGAGCTGAATATACGAAGACGTGCTAGTGCAGTAGAGTAAAATTCGACTTGTCTTTAGTGACTATTGTGCCAGTGGATATAATATTGTTTGGGTAAAATGTCGAGCTTATCAGATTACGTACCTGCTAAAAGCGTGAAAAGATGTGCGCTGTCTCAGAATGAGAAGATTATTATATTAAATGTATTTAATGCATTGAAACACCAAAATCCTACCAACAGTGTTGACGGCATCGTGGAAAAGTGCAAAATGACAGGGATTGGAAAATCGACTATCTACAGACTTTTAAAGGAAACAAAAAATGAACAAGATACTGTAAATCCCCCAAAATCATCTACAGGGAGGTCAAAAGTCGTTATAGATGATTTCTTCAAAAATGTCATTCGCTGAAAAGTACACTCATTTTATTTTAAAAAAGAAATACCAACACTAAATTGGGCGAATTAGTCTGGACGCAGGTAAAAGAAGATGTAGCGCGAAATAATACGTTTAAATTAAGTGACGTGAAAATTTTGTTAAAAAATTCCTTGGAACGAGAAACTGCAGATAACTGGCAAAGATGTATACATCATGTACAAAAAGAAGAGGAGAAAATGTGGGAACTCGATAATTTAATTGACGTTACTGTGGAACCTATCGTTATCAATCTAGGAGACGAAGATAATTCATCAGAATATTCAGAGGATGAATTTTAATATACCTACTTTTTTATTTTCTTTATTGTACATTTATACAACACTACATTTACTCACCATAATTTGAATTTTCAAAATACATATATTTTTGTGTGGAATAAAAGTCTATTCATTAAATTTAAATAAATATTTTGATAATAATATTGAATAATTTTATTTGAATTACTAAAAACCCTCTTAACCCGGTTATGATGCTTAAAGTAGCCTCATGTTTTGAAATGCTGTTTTTATATTGTTTACTTATAAGAGAAATGGACCGAGAAATTGAAGCGGCATAGACAAAGACGGATTGTCGGGGATTAAATTGTACAACCCGGTCTCACAAATTTTTTTTTAAAAGTACACCTCATCTATACCGATAATACATAATATAAAAATATTGAATATAAGCACCAGT